TACATTTGTTTTAACTCACAACAAGATATATACTCTTCTTCGAATTTCGTTCGTCTTCTGGTTTCGGCGACGTTGTGCCGCCTTCGAGTGTTGTGTGTGCTTCACCTCAGTCGTCGGATCTCTATTTACGAGCAGCGTTCGATTACTCCGTTCTTGCCATCGGACAGGTTTGCTGTTTTTTCACCTTTCGTAACCTGACCGTGAGCAATCGTGCTAAGGTCCTATTCGCAGCGGTTCTAACTCTCTGTCAGACACTATATTTGGTGACCCCGTCTATTTAATTTTTTTGATTACTTTTCTCTTTTTTTCCTTATGTCTGACTACGCTGCTCCCCGTGAACCTTGTGAAACTCAATTGGCTTTTCGTTACCCACCTTTGATGTTTGAAACCATCGTGTTTGTTTTATTCAGGTGGAGGCCATCTTCCGATTTCGGAAGATCACTTCGCAATCATCGATGTTTTCATACGTCACCGCTCATCTTCCTTCACAGGTAGCCTCGGAGGTGATCGATATTCTTGATCCGATGCCGACTGAATCGCCGTATGACAAGCTCAAATCAGCCATTCTAAAACGCACTACGGCTTCCGATGAAGCACGGCTGCACATGCTACTTTCTGGCATAGAGCTTGGAGACCGCAGCCCGTCTCAACTCCTCCGGCACATGCGTTCACTTGTGGGTTCCTCGACCCTGGACGATTCCATCCTCCGACAGATCTGGACTAAGTGCCTTCCAACAAACACCACGGCAATTTTAGCAGTCCTTGCTGATGAGCTTCCGTTGGACAAACTAGCCGAAGCGGCCGACAAAGTCCATGAACGCTTCTTTAAATCTGCTGTGAATAATGTGACTGGACCGAGCTCCACTAGTCCATCTGGAAGTACCGCACTTGAGGATATTAGTGAACGACTCTCGCGCTTAGAACTCGCTGTGTCTCACATCGGTCGTGAACGACCTGTTAACCGTAGATTCAACTCCAGGAGTGGCCGCCGTAGTCAATCCCGCACCAGCCGATCGCGATCATACTGCTACTACCACCGCCGTTTCGGCGATGCTGCTCGTAATTGTCGTCCAGGTTGTAAATACCCGAAGACGTTTTTGGATTCTCGGCAGGGAAACGACAACGCCAGCCAGTGATGGCGACAGCTGCTGCTGGCCAAACCATTAGTCGCCTCTTGTACGTCTTCGATTCCACCACCAAACTTCATTTTTTGGTTGATACCGGCGCAGAGGTGAGCGCTATACCTCGATCCTTAGAAAAACGTGCTCTGCGACCATCCGGAATTACCTTACAGGCAGCTAACCAAACCAAGATCGCGACGTATGGCCAGAGACTGTTGACACTTAATCTTGGTTTGCGACGTAATTTCACCTTCATCTTTCTAATTGCCGATGTACAGAAGCCCATCATTGGTATTGACTTTCTCACCAAATTCGGCCTGGTCGTAGACCTGCGATGTGGCAAGCTACGAGATGGTACTACATCGTTAACTGTTTCCGGACAGCTCGCTACGGTCAATTCCATTAAGCTTCATGTACTTCTGCCTAAAGAGTCACGCTACTCATCACTGCTGCAACAATTTCCCTCCCTCCTTAGAGCAGATGACGGCACTCTAGAGCCCAAGCACGATATCTGTCACCATATCGTCACAACCGGTCCTCCGGTGTCTGCCAAGCCAAGACGCCCTTTACCGGACAAACTACAAGCGGCCAATAGAGTGTTCGAACACATGCTTAACCTCGGGATCATACGCCCTTCCAAAAGCTGCTGGGCATCTCCGCTTCCTTTGGTGCCCAAGAAGACCAGCGATTGGAGACCATGTGGCGACTACCGTGCGCTCAACAATGTCATTGTTCCCGATAGATACCCAATTTCCCATACCCATGATTTTTCTAGCAACTTGCACGGAGAATCTGTTTTCTCTACAATCGACCTAGTTCGTGCATACCATCACATTCCTGTTGCTCCTGACGACCTTCCAAAGACTGCTTTTACCACCCCCTTTGGTCTCTATGAATTTGTTCGTATGCCCTTCGGATTGCACAACGCTGTTCAAACCTTTCAGCGGTTCATTGAGCAAATTTTAAGGGGTCTACACTTCGTCTTCGCCTACATCGACGACATCCTCGTCGCCAGTTCGAACGATGAGGAACACCTGTCACATCTCCGTCTGATCTTCAAGCGTTTTGCTCAGTATGGCGTGACGATTAATGTTGATAAATGTATTTTCGGCCAATCTTGTGTCGATTTTCTCGGTCACCGAATCGACCACAATGGCATTCGCCCACTGCCCGAAAAGACACAGGCAATCGCGGATTACCCAATGCCTCAGACCTTCAAAAATTTGCGTCGTTTCCTCGGGATGGTCAACTATTACAATCGTTTCATTCCAAATTGTTCCCGGCTACTTCAGCCTCTGACAGATTTACTAAAAGGAAGTCTCGAAAGTTTGAGCCAACAGCAGAAACTATTGTGGCATTCGATAAGATCAAGCAGGCGTTATCCAACGCCACAGCGCTTAGCCACATGAAAACCGATGTTGATGCACCTCTCGTTCTCAGGACAGATGCATCACAAACTGCCGTTTGCGCCGTTTTACAGCAGCTGATCAACAACCAACCTCAACCTTTGTCTTTTTTCTCCAAAAAGCTTCAGCCTGCTCAAACTCGATACAGCACATTCGGACGCGAAATGCTTTCTATTTACCTTGCCATTAAGCACTTCCGACATCTACTTGAACGACGTACCTTCACTATCCTAACGGATCACAAACCGATAGCTTTTGCCTTCCGCGGTTCCTCCGATCGATTTTCACCTCGTGAGACCCGTCATCTAGACTACATATCACAATTCACGACAGACATTCGTCATGTTGATGCCACTAACAAAGCTGTTGCTGACGCTGTCTCGTATCGATCTCCATCATTTCTCACGCCAAACTATTAACCTCGAGGATATTGCGGCTCACCAAGAAGACGATCCTGAGTTCGCAGACTTGAAGACAAACGCTTTCTTGAAATTCTCTCAACTGCCTATTGTTCATTCCGATTCCAAAGTCTATTGTGATCTGTCGACCGGAAAGCCCAGACCTTTTGTTCCACAACAGTTCCACAGACTTGTTTTCGATCACCTGCATGGCCTTTCCCACCCTGGCATTCGAGCCACGGTCAAGTTAATCACTGACCGCTACATATGGCACAATATGCGTTCCGACATCCAAAAATGGGCGAAGCATTGTGTCACTTGTCAGACTAGCAAGATACATCGGCACACGATCACCGTACCTGGCACATTTGCGTTACCCGACGCTAGACTTAAACATGTGCACCTTGATCTCGTTGGTCCACTTCCTCCATCCAACGGTTTCCAGTACTTACTGACCTGTGTCGACCGTTTCACACGATGGCCTCATGCAGTACCTTTACGAGATATTTCCACCGAAACTGTTTTGCGGACCTTCGTTGAAACCTGGAGATCTGTGTTTGGCACCCCAGCCACGATCACAACAGACAAAGGTCCTCAGTTCACTTCCGCTCTCTTTCGAGACCTCAATCGTTTACTCGGCTGTTGTCATCTGCGAACAACCGCCTACCATCCAGCCGCGAACGGTCTTGTTGAACGTTTTCATCGTCAACTGAAAGCCGCAAGTACCGCATCACAATCGAGTACGCACTGGTCCGAACAGCTACCAATTATCCTTCACGACATTCGCAACACGGTCAAAGAAGACCTAGGTTGTTGCCCCGCTGAACTGGTTTTCGGCATAACTCTCAGGCTTCCCGGTGAGATGGTGTTAGATACCAAAATCACTGGCGAACTAGACCCGACTTCCTCTGTGGCACGATTGCGACAACATTTTTCTTCAGTCCGGCCAACACCGCCCAGATTCAGCCCTCGAAACCAGCAAGTGCACTCTGATTTGCATACCTGCCCTTTCGTTTTTGTGCGCGTTGATGCCGTGCGTAAACCCTTGACACCACCGTATGAGGGCCCTTTCAAAGTTCTTGCTCGTAAAGAGAAATACTTCATATTGGATAGAAACGGTTCGAAGGATTCTCTGAGCCTTGATCGCTTAAAACCAGCGTACGTCGAAACCAAAACACCACAACAAGCCACAAAACAGACGTTTCCTAGTACCCCTCCTACCCAGCCGATGTGTGAACCCTGTGTGTCCCCTCTACACCCTCCTCTACAGCTTCCGCTGAACCAGTGAGTGAACCATATGCACCAAAGCACACCCGCTCTGGACGCGCTGTTGTTTTGCCTTCCAAACTAATGTCTACCAACAACGCACAACTTTCGAGCGTTCGTTCTGCCGACTCACGCTCTAGGAGGGGAGCCCTGTAGTGTTTATAGATTCTTCACATTTTTCCTTGTAACTTCCTATTCTATCTTCCGTCAATTTTTGTACATTTGTTTTAACTCACAACAAGATATATACTCTTCTTCGAATTTCGTTCGTCTTCTGGTTTCGGCGACGTTGTGCCGCCTTCGAGTGTTGTGTGTGCTTCACCTCAGTCGTCGGATCTCTATTTACGAGCAGCGTTCGATTACTCCGTTCTTGCCATCGGACAGGTTTGCTGCTTTTTCACCTTTCGTAACCTGACCGTGAGCAATCGTGCTAAGGTCCTATTCGCAGCGGTTCTAACTCTCTCTCAGACACTATACCATTTTGCCAAAGGATTACCGGGCGCTTTTGCAGACTCCACGGAACGCCCGAATAGGAACAGGCGAACAAATATGAAGGGCATCGTACAAGGTAGGTTGACATACAGTAATCCATGAAAACTACAATAGCATCATTTGGCGACACATGGGTGATGCAGCCGCCGACGCTGACAGTGCACGCCACATCAAAACGTGGTTGCACTCTGCACAGCACAAGAGACCGCTGTTGGGCAAATTAAAGTATGCACTGCGAACGAGGTGAGTTCACTGCTTCATAATGAACATCTTCAACTTCCTACATTGTGCATCGCCGAAACGGATTAACCAGCTTGACAATGCCTCTTTCTGCTACTAACGATTTTGGTACCCCGCACTTTAATCTATATAAAGCATCATTATTCCCTGGTTGTAATTATCTTTCGCCTTGTGATGTTCTCAGGCGCGGTGAGCTCCATTTTGTTTTCTGATAAACAGCTTGAAGCGTCGCTTAGGTGTGTTCCCACATCCAGGAACTACGGCAACACGTACTGCGTGAACCTTGGGTTCGAACCGTCAATATATTTCTTAGTTACTAAGTGCGTAGTAGTGTGAGGTCCGTATTCGGATATCCATGTTTCTGGACCTACCGGATTGCCACGCATATGGGTGAATTTCTACTGGGCAACGTTAGCATCATTTTCATTGGTCTGGCGTAAACTGGACGAAATCCATTTTTAACCATCTCACGGTACAAGATCCTGTCCAGTTTATCGTAAAGGTCTCGTAGGAACGTTTAGGAGACTAATCTGGACAGGATCTGGATATGTGCTGCCAGGGCATTTCGCTTCACTAGGAAGATTTATTCTAGCTTCCGTTGGAGCCTGTTTGGAGCTGGCTCAAGCTGGTTATTACTGGAGCGGTGGAGTTATTCACGACTTGCGCTATGTGTTCCGGTAGACACATCATCTTACTGGAAGTTAGTAAATCAGCCGGCGTAACGGCTTCGGTTTGTTGGGACTTTGGCAGACGCAGATGCAGAGAGAGATATCGATGACGCAACTGACTAATCTTCCACGTTGGACACGGCCGGAACGGCAACGCTACATATACTGAGAGAATGAGGATTAGCCAGGAGAAGTTTGTCATTCATCAATACTCGACACGAGCTCACTACCTGAGAGGCAGGGCTTTGAAGGCATCCGTATAGATATACGCCACAGGGGGTCATCGGTGTTACCTCACGATAAGTGCAGTCACCCTTCGCACAGAGCGCGTTCAGTTTTTGAGCGGAACGGGACGCGTTTGCCACAAGCCGTGCACCTGGGTAACATAGCGGTTTGCCATATTGATATAGATAACCGAGCGACCTTCTAACGATAAGCGATTAAAGTGTTGTCCGTGACTGACACCTGGTACAGTCAGGGCAAACATGCGCGTGTAGTTTAGATGTTGTGTAGTCATGTAAACGTTAAGGGCAAGTTAAGGGTAATTTCAGTATACCATGTGTTTGCGACACTTACCCAT